AAGAAAATATGTACTGTTGTAGCATCACTACTTTCTTTTATTGAGAGCATTTTACAGAATTCACAAGAGCAAACATGAAACATGTATTTCTTTATTTTATGATCATTCTAACACCCATTTTCCCACTTCATTCCTGTGAAAATATTACCAAAGCTTGTTTATATGCATGGCCGGAGCCCCATAACAATACTAATGTCTGCGCGACGATTTGCTAAACTGTTGGCAATACCTCACATTGAATTCACGCGTTCAGAATAAATTTTTCGAAAACGTAACGAGTAAATATTCAGTGTATGGACGATTTTATTGAACTAAAAAGGGCATTATTCCCTGGAGAACGCATTGACAACACGCCTGAATTTTGCTTAGGTGGTCCCTTGTTTAATTTTCATTGATATATTTTGAATTGAATTGTGACGGATCGATCAAAACGTGATCGTTTTACGATTACGTAAACCCTTAATTGTTTTTCTGTTCGCAAGAAGGAATGATCTTCAAATTTCAGACTCAAAAGCTGTGTATTATGGAAGCAGAACTCGTTTATTTTATATTTTCATATTACACTTCCATATTAGACGAGCATTTTCGAATGCAATTAATGGAATGCATGTTGTTTGGTGTTATTCAGTCACACGTAATTATCTGTTATCCATAACTATTCAAGAATGTGGGCGCATTTGTAAGCCTTTGTCTCGTCCTGCTCATTAGAATGATCATCGTATACAAACTAAGGCACAACGGCGGCCAACAAGATTTGAAATGGCTTTTTGCAACTGTCGATTTGATACATAATGCAGCAAGACAAATTGCATATCCAAGCAAGAAGGAAACAAACTGTCTTTCGTGTATTGATCATTGTGTATCGTACATACTACGTACTCAGATATTATATTGTTTCATCTACTTCTTGCTTACTTATTTACATTTCACACGTTTTTCATCTTATACGTCGACGTTGGCAATTATTAACCAATGGTCTTTGAGTACTTAGAAACAATAAATTTACTCTGCTATTTATACATTAAGAAACAGTAAAGAACAAGTTTCTTTTGTCAAGAAACAGTACAGAACTGTGTGCCGTATGGAGGAGACAATCATCTGCGCATTTTCTTGATTTCTAGAATCCCTTCCTGTCATTTTATCTCTAAATAGTTGAAACATGACTAAAAGTTAAAGCTAAATAAATAATAAAATTTTTAAACACTCGTGAGATTAGCAACATTTGAAAAATTAGACATTTTCTTTCCCGAGTTATAGAAAATTGATTTGCATCGGTAAACGAATTGCAATTATGATTTTTCTGCATTGTAGCAACTCCCCCGTACCTCTTCTCTTACCAAGCAAAAGGAGAGTAGAACAAAACCTGCGCATAGTGAAACTACATTTACCTTCAGAAGCAAAACAAAGAGCCATCTCAGCATTTGCTCAATGGATCAGGTAAATTGGACAAAAACCTGATCGAGATGGGGGTCATTGACCCGGAAGCTGAAGTACATTATTTATTACAAGCATATTAAATCTTTTTAAAAAGTTATAAAATTCAAACGTAAATAAATCATTATAAATCACTGTTTTGTTAGAACAAACATTATTTTTCTTTTTTATAATCAGTATAGTCTCTAATTGTATAGACAGAGTTTTGCAGCAGAAAAGATTTACTTTTAACTTAAATTGGTGTACCGACTTAACATGTTAAATGTCATTTGGCAATGCGTTGTAAAGTAACGTGTATTTTATGTGGATTTCTGGTAGTGAACTGTTGATACTGACACTTGATGATTGTGATTTCTACGACGTGTTGTAATCATAAATATCATTATGGCATGAAAATATGTTCTCGCCGTAAAGTAAGTCAGTTTTGACGAAAATTACATATTCGTAAATAAATAGGCAAGGCAATGGTAAGATTTCTAGCTCAATGAAGAGAGGCCTGCAGGGATCACGCGGATGGCATTTTTTATTATTCTAATAATTTTCTTTTGCTATCTAAAGGTCTGGGTACTACATGATGAGCTTCCCCAGAATATTATGCCATATCTCAGGCGGGAATGCACATTTGCAAAATACATGCAACGAGCTGCACGAAAGCTAACAGAATTTAAAAGAATTCTGAATGCGCAACAAAATCAACTTAATTTAGTGTTTAAGTCTGTTTTATGTTCATTCCATGTAAGGTGTGTCTAAATTGATAGATCTACAAAGTTTGTTACCTGAACATTAGCTAATTGCATATTGTTCATTTTCAATGGAGCATTCGATTGCTGATTTGAAATGCCAAAATGTATTGAAACTGTTCTTTTTTTGTTGACTATTAAATAAAACCAATTTGAAACTTCTGAATCCGTACTATTTATTGTTTATTTTTTGCAAAGAACATTCGTGTCATTGGCAAACAGTATTGTTCTTACGTTTTTAATTGACAATGGCATATTTTTGCCATTATATTGGTTTATTAATTCGAACATTGGCCTTACTCCACAGTTCAATTGCCTAAAGATTCGATTCTCCTTTTAATACTTCAAACACGATAGGCGGTTGTGAATAAGAACAGGGCGAGCGCTCGCTTTCACCATTTGTCCGGTGGAAGCACGTGGCCCGCCCCCGGGCCAGAGCACCCTTCTGAAGCGGACGCCCCCTCCCTGTTGCAGAGCCCCACGCCGCCGCAGTACGTGTTCTGGTACCACAACGACCGCATGATCAACTACGACAACGCGCGCGGCGGCATCACGGTGGACACGGAGCCCGGCCCCAAGACGCAGAGCCGGCTCACCATCCGCGACGCGCACGACACCGACTCGGGCAACTACACGTGCAGCGCCTCCAACACGGAGCCCGCC